AGGGAGAGGGGGGAGGGGGAGGAGGAGGGGAGGGGAGGGGAGGGGAGGAGCAGAGGGGAGGGGGAAGGGGGGACAGCGGAACCCCCAGAGCTGCAGGCTTTCCATCTTGTCTTCCTTAAACCTCCACAATTTAAGAGACAGGATTAGACCCTCGAAAACAAGTTCGCGCGGCGGAAGCGGCTCGGGGTCGGCTCTCCCGTGGCTGGCTGGGCCGGGCACCGAGCCCGCGCCGGAGCAGCGGCCGCCGCGAGGAGACGCGCGGGCTCACCTCGAACTCAGACCCCTCCCGCCCCCGCTTCCTTCCCTCCTCGGACTCACAAAACCACCCCACAAACAACAACGCACAGACAGACGGCGAGGCTCCCACGCTGAGCAGCACACTGGCCAAGAAAACGAAAAGCGCAGGAGGCGCTAGCTTTTACCTCCGCCTCTAGTACACTAAGCGGGACCCAGAGCACGGAAGTGGAGGACACTAACTACCGGTCGTGGCAGCGCGCGGCAGTGACGCCATCCGTTCTGCGCCCCCAGGCGGGCGCGGCTCCGTCCTCACTGGTACGTCTCGAGGAGGCCAGCAGAGGGCGCCAGGAGACTGCCGTAAGGGCTGGACCGGGCCGGCGCGGATGGTGAAGGTCGGGAAGGCCCCAGACTTCATTCTGGAGGACTTTTTTCCTGTGGCAATGAACCAATTCGTTTTTCTCCTCATTCTTCCTCTTGAGACGACCCCCCCCCACCATTTGACTTGTTGTTGACACTTGATGATGCCAACTTTCTGGTTTTGTTGCTTTGTTAAAACTAAACATTGATCTTGGGGAATTTAAATGTCTAATAATCAGGTAACCTAGTAAGTGAAACTACTCACTGCAGTTCCCCTCCAGGTCAAAAGGAAAAAAAAAACTGAAAAATAATTGTTTAGGTTCAAGTGTATAAACTGACATGCACCAACTGTTTTACAACCATAATGTAAAACTTTAAAACCGGGCGGTGTTTTTTTGAAATCATTAAATTTTAAACTTGAAGAAGACTTCTGAGTTCATGAAGACCTTCTCATTTTACACATAAGAATATGTAAACTGAATAGATGGCAGCAAAAATATGCATGCCTTACACTTCCTGGAGCACTAAGCTGGCTGTGATTTCTAGCATATGCTTTGTTGTAGGGGAAGATATCAAGAATTATTTCATATTTATTATGTATATCACCTAAGTTTGTTGTTAGCGATATAAGTAAAGGAAATTGGTACTGGGGCTTTAACTTGGAGTCTTGCACTTGTTTGACTTGCTTCCTTTGATGACACTGTATCACTTGAGCATGCTACTAGCCAGGCTTTTCGTTAGCTATTTTGGATATAGAGCCTTGCAGACTTTTCTGCTTGGGCTGGCTTCCAACTGCTATCCTCTGGGTCTTAGTCCCCTGAATGGCTGGGATTACTAAAGTCATGGGTCGCTGGTGACCGACTGATTAGGATTTTTTTATTGTTTTTGTTTTGTTTTTAATATAAAAGTTAACCCAGCTGAGACTGAAGGAACACAGTTGGAAACCATCTTGGGCGGGAAAATCTTGTGAGACTCTCATCTCCAATTAATCACCAAAAGCCCAGAAGTGGAGCTGTGCCTAAAGTAGTAGAATGCTAGCCTTGAGAGAAACAACAACAAAAAAGCTCAACGAATGCACCTATTCCCTGAGTTCAAGCCCCAGTACTGCAGAGAGAGGAAGAGAGAGAGAGGAAGAGAGAAGGGGAGGAAGGAAGGAAGGAAGGAAGGAAGTAAGGAAGGAAGGAAGGAAGGAAAGAAAGAAGGAAGGAAGGTTGCTTCTTCCAGGAAAATGGCGACTCCAGCCCGTGCCCTGGAATCACCTCCAGCCAAGGATCCGGCTCCGGCCTTGGGGCCTGCAGAGGAAGCCGACTACCCGCCACGGCCTGGCCAGCCTCAGGTCCTGCAGAATGTCCTTGCTGCCCCGCGGCTTCCAGCCCCAGCGCCCGAGGACTTGGGGCCCACGGAGTCTGATGGAGCTAAGGGAGATGTTGAGGAGCCAGGAGTGACTTTCGCGCAACGAAAAATTCATTTGCAGATTGCCCGACAAAGGTAAAAAGATCTTTGGCATTATTGCCAAACTGAAAGCTGCCATTGCAGAACGTGAAGAGGTTAGAGGAAAAAGTGAACTGTTTCATCCTATTCGTTTAGATTATAAGCTAAGGCAAAAAGCCATTTCAGGAGTTGATGTGGATGTAGATAAGCTGTTAGCCCAATGAGCTCCCTTCCCATAGCTTTACACGCTTCCCCCCCCACACCCCTTCCTCAGCTTGGCACGCTCCCTTCCTAGGCAAGGCTAGACCCATGTAGTAAAGACAGTAAATAATCAGCCTTTGGGATGGCACTCCTTTGCCTTGGGATGGCACTCCTCTGGGGTAGCTGCTACCGAATAAGGCAGCAAGAGCTCCTGACAGTGACCTTCAGGCCTGGGCAGCCGCAGGGCCCCTTAACTACTCCTTGAGCAGCAGCTGTAAATCCTAGTCCACCATGATGAGGCCCACACCAGGGTCTCTGCCTCCTAGCCCCTTCTAGCCTCAGTAGGTTATATAGGTCACCTCAGACAACAGCCAGCATTTCTTCTCACTTCTCTCTTGTGAGAAGGGGTCTTGCCAGCCCCTTTCTCTGCAATAAACCTTTCTTTGTTCCCTGTACCTGGATGTCTGCGTGGTTTTCTGGCAAAAGTCTAATAATGTAACATAAGCCCCAGAATTCTGACCTGATCCTTGATACTTCATCACCAGTTCCCGGCTCTTCCCCTGTGAATAGCATCAAGTCATCTAAAACAACCTCAGAAAAGCAGGAACTTGTGCGTCCTGCTCACAAAGGCAATGAGACACTCTGGAGGCTGAGTACACAGTGAGCAAGGGTCCAGCGTCCAGCAGCAGAGCCAAGGGACCTTCCTGGTCTGAATCTATCGAGCTTCTCCCCCAGCATTGTCCTTCAGATCGAGAAGACATTGCCTGCAGCCTTGACAACATGTTTATTGACAAGTTAAAAAGAATCACACTTGCAGATCAAGTTGAACACCCTTCTGAAGAAAACCTGAGTGCTGAGAACTCAACAGACCTTTGCAGTGGGACTCCTGAGAAGCCTCATTACATGGAAATGCTAGAAATGTGAGCTCAAAACCCAGTGTCCTTGCCACATAAATTTAAAACCAACTTGTTGCCATCACAGAAGAATGACTGAACTGGTCATTGTCAGAGGGGAGAGCACCTGTTTCCTCAGATGAGGTGCATACAGGGACAGGCAGCATCTGGGTGACATCACTGCCACGAGACTCCTACCACTTCACCATTTGCCTACACAGCTGCTCTCCATAGGAGAAGTCTTTGGCTCTTCAGAAACAGCAGAAACAGAATAATGAGGAGATGTAAGTGAAGCTCGCAGCACAAAAATTAGCTAAAAGACTGAATGTTGAAATGCAGAACTATAATCTAGGAGGAGAGTCTTTGGGGAAAATACCGAGAAGTAAAGGATGAAGATGCTGAGCAGTCCTCTGATGATGGATTCTGAAGATAGGCACCGGAATAATCTAAGCCTCCAATTGTCGAGGTGCTATTATCTTACATCAAACTTTCTAACAAGTATCAAGATCAGTGTCAGACCTTGAGGGAAAATTTCATAAAGTTACACAAAGGTAGCTACAATAGAAAGCCCATTGATCTTTCAGAAGATGATTTTTACTGTTTGAAAAGTTTAATATCCACGTATTGTGTTTAACCACATTGTATTTGACAGGCCACTGAAAGGCAGAGGCAACCGAGAAAAGCCACTGCCTTATACACCACCTGTCCCAATTATACACCACCTGTCCCAATCATTCTTCAGGGGCACTAGCCCAAAACTGTTCAAACTCGCAAAACAAGTTACATTACATGCTAAGAGTTCCTGCTGACCCCAGCCATTTAAACCTCCTACAACCAGACCCTGTGCGACCTCTCTGATCCCAACCAGGGAGTTTGCCCGGCAGCATACCCCAATAAACTTTTCTTTCTTCACCTTTACCTCCTCCTGCATGTTCTTTCCTCACCTAAAACCTTACAGTATTAAAGTGTTGCAGTATGTGGTGCATTTGTTTGATATTTTAGTATGTAGTAAAGCACATTGGTGCATTTTTTCCCTTAAGTCAAATGAAAGCAGATAATTTTGCTTCTTCCTTATTAAATGGCATTTATTACATGTCTTTTGGTGTAATATTTGATTGTTCCAGACATGAAATATGAGGAAGAAGTGGTTCCCTCCTTTTTTGTAATGAAGGGAGCAGTGGAAGAATTGGAGGCATATTTTCTTGGAATTAGTAAGACGAGGGTGTGAAATGCACCAAAAAGTGATATGGTGGAGGAAGTAAGGATGGAATATAATATTTGGCTTGGATTGTATAAAATGAATGATGAATGGTTTTAAGATATAAATGTAACTGTGCTTTCTGTGGATAAGACTTCCCTGCAAACTATCTATTTTAGCTAGTAACTGTAACTCTGTAACTATGCTTCTACTGTTTTCTGAACAATGCAAGCCCTAACCCAACTGAATCCTTTGTTCTATTCCCCTGTCTTCCACCAGCAAAACCTTGGCAGAAATTTAAACCTAAGGTGGGAATTTCACATAACAATCATTGGCTAAAACCAACATCCAACCTCCCCCTTCACCACCCTAGCCAAAACTGCTTAAAAGCCAATGTGGGCTGGCACTTGGGCATTTCCTGGGATTCCCAACTCCAGGTACAGTCCTGGTGTGTCAGCACTTTTCACTCAATAAAATCTTTTACATTTTCACTGCAGACTGAGTGGTCTCACTGCTCGTCCACACTACAAAAGCACTCATAGTAAACACGCCACAAATGTTTGTCTCCTTCAGTCATCTTAGGAAGACTGTCCTCTTGCTCCTGCTTATGAATAAGGAGTAATTTGAGGAGTTGCTGAAGGGTGGAGGGTCTCTCTAGAGGACCAGATTTGCCTGCAGTAACTGAGGGGACTGCACTGGGTAGGAGTGCTTTCCCTACACAGATGATAGTTCAATGTATAGAGTTTCATGTTTGGAAAGGAAGCCATTTGTTTTAAAGTTACAATTGAATGATCAGCACATTGCATTTATTCCCCCAAAGAGACTTTTATAGGCTATGGAAACTTCTATCTCATATATGTACATGTCTTTTTTAATGATTACATGGTTGTTTCCAGAGAAATAAACATGTTATCAGAATTTTTGTATAATATGTGGAATCTTTAAAAGTATTGAAAAGGAAAATAAAATAGTAATTAGAGCAAATTCAAAAAAAGAAGGAAAGGAAGAAAGAAAGAAAAAAGAAAGAAAGAAAGAAAGAGAAAGGAAGGAGGG